TTATCGAGGAAGGATTTCGAAAAGGGAACAAGGGCTTCCCGATGGAGGACCTTTTAAGACTGGTCCGACAGTTCTGGGAGCAAGAAGAACTGACACGCCAACCGTTTCCGCTCACTGAGGAGGAGCAAGAGTGCGAGAATCATTTTTATGCAACATGTGCATGGAAAGTACTCCATTACGCACGCTACGCGTGCGTGATAGACCACTTTCCAGGCACTTGCAACATAAAATAAGGAGTGTAAGTCGTGTGTAAAGATGAAAATTCCCGGGTGCGGAGTTTACGCACGAGCCGAAGGCGAGTGCGGTAACTGCACCCGGGAATTTTCATCTTACGACACTTGTTACACAAATAACTATGTTCGCACTCACTCTCGCTTTCTGGATGGCCGATATATGGTGCGACTACCAATAATAAAGGCCACGTTACCAGACCTGTCGGACTCACACTGGGTGGCCTTGCGCGTTCTGCAAGCAGTAAAGCGCAAGAGCAAAGCGGATCCCGAACTGAAAATGCTCAGACTTCATGCGAGAGTACGAAGAGATCGGCCACATGTCTCGAGCAGTACCTCAAAGAAACAGCCCCACCGGGCACCGGTGCTTCTTCACGCATCACAGAGTCTTGAAGAAGAAGGGCGACATCACCAAAATAAGAGTCGTTTTTAACGGATCCGCCCGACTACGCCCCAGTGATTCGCTGAATGAGCATCTGCTCACCGGCCCGAATCTATTGCCGGCGCTCACCGATGTCTTGCTGCGATGAAGGCTCCATCGCTTTGTAATCACTGCAGACATGGAAAAAAAATGTATCACTAAGTCGCGCTGCACCCAAGCGATTGCAGCCTGCAGCAGATATTGTGACGACCGGATCCGGACGCCGACGTGAAAGAATTCCTACTCAACGCGGTCACGTACAGTCTCACAAGCACACCTTCCTCGCGATTCGATCGCGCAATCAGATGGCCTCGGACGAGAGGCACCAGTTCCCTTGAGCAGCTATTGTCCTCGAGGAGGAAACATACGTCAACGACGTTTTCTCGGCGGCTGACACCAAGACCGAAACCTGCGACATAGCTAATGAACTCGTGACTTTGTGTGCCGCCGGAGGCTTTCCACTGAAAAAGTGGGCCGCCAATAAAGACTTGGTCTTACAAGACATTCTGCAGGAGCATCGGCAATTGCAGACCCTTCCTTCCTGGGATCCCGACTCCAGTCATGCCACTCTCGGAGTGCAATGGAACCCGCAGGATGATGCTTTCTCATTCAGAGTGCAGCCGGTGAATGTTGCACGCATAACCAAGCGTACCGTGCTCTCATACACTGCACATCTGTTCGATCCTCTTGGATAGCCCCGATAATCATCCTTGCAAAAATCTAAATTCAATCGGCAATCTGCAAGGCCTGGAGTGGGATGAACTACTCCCCACAAAAGACGAGCAAAAATGGCGCCGCCTCCTTTAAGCTGCCATTATTGGCCACTTGCCGCATTCCACGCTGGCTGCAGACAACAAGAGACAGCGTGAACGTGGAATTGCACGAATTTTCGGACGCGTCAGAAAGGGCGTATGCCGCAGTCATTTTTCTAAAGACCTGCTGCAATGGCGGACGGAACGAGATTACCTTGCTCGGAGCAAAGAGCAAAGTCGCCCTTGTTCAAAGAATTTCATTGCCACGATTAGAGCTTTGCGCGGCAGCATTGCTCGCGAAGATGGCTTTACAGAAGCAGACCACTTTACGTCTCACCAAAGTGCAAGTCCACTTGTGATCAGATTTTATGGTGGCACTTGCATGGATTAAGGGACACCCCGCTCAATGGAGCACTTACGTAAATGCCGGTGATACCAGTTAACGAGGTCATTAAATTGCCGCAGTTGAGTTCTATCTTTTGGTACCGGAAAATCGAGGATAGGCTGAATTTTCTCGGGATTTAGTCTGGTTCCTAATTCGTCGACAATGTAACCAAGAAACTTCACTTCTTTACACGCGAAACTGTTTTTTTTACGGTTGACTTTCAACTTTGCTTCACGTAAAACTTCAAATAATAACGACAAAAGTGCCAGATGTTCCTCGAAATCTTGACTAACTATAATCCAATCGTCTAAGTATGCGAATACTTGTTCAGCCCATTTATTATAGGGAGATTTCTTTCTAGAATTAATTTCTTATTTTGTCGTTTTAATTTGTCCATTAATTTTTGGAAAGTAGCTGGGGCGCCAGTTAGACCGTACGGCATTCTCACCCATTTCAATAAACCTTTACCCTCTACGACAAACATTATATTTACGGCTTCTGTCATCCATAGGGATTTGATGGAAGGCCTCATATCGAGAGTCGAAATAATTTTCGCTTGATGCAACTGCGGTAAAATAGACTTCATATGTTGGAGTGGGTAGGCTGGTATTGTGATTATTAGTTCATATAAGCCGCGTAAATTTTATACTCGATTTCCCTAGTGGATAGATGGCGCTATGCCAGACTTTTTAGAGTGGCACTACCAAAACTCCCGCGTTTTTCTCCCCGTTAGCCAGATCTGACATGGCAACCGATCTGTAAGAAAGTCGAGAATAAAGACAATATTAAAAGACACACATCTCGAATTTTTGGTCCCGTTACAACAGCTGGTTTAGCAGTTTGATGATTCACCGGGCGATAGTCGACGCAAAACTTCAAACTCCCGTTTGCTTTTGGGGCTATCACCGGTGAACAAGCTCAATCACTATTGCTCCATACTATATAACCCTTCTCTAGCAACCGATCTACTTCTTTATTTATAAACTCGCGGACAGCTTTGCTACGATGGTAAAGCTTCTGTCTATATATGGGGAGTAGGATCATTTAACTCAATAACGTGTTTAATTAGGTCGGTCATTTCCGTAGATTCACTTTCTAATTTTCTAATTCGCTGTCGAGGAAATGTCTTAATTTATCGGTTTGCCGTAGGAACATGTAGGAACAATATTGTGTAAGTAGAACTAAGATTCAATGCCTAGAAAAAAAGATTTTCTCTAATAAAGTTTTATTAAACAGAGGCACATGCAGGTTGATAGGCTAAGCAGTATTGCGTGTAGCGAGAGATGGCGCAGCAATCGGACAAGGACAGATATAGAGAAAACAGAATTAGAAATGTTGACATTATCGACATAGAGGAAGTTCGGCCTTCGCTATAGGATCTCCTTAAGGGTTTTAACCCTTAACTAGCACACGTCCACGATCGAACGTTATTTGCACACGGGGTGTTGTACACTTTGAATGTTGGGTACGAAATGGAGGCTCCAATAGGCTTGAAAAAAATCAAGTACATACATTAAAAACACTGGAAAATTATACCCATTAGCCTAAACTATGAAATTTTTAGTTTTGAGGTTTCAAACAAATTCTTGAAATAAATTTGTTATGGAAAAAAAATTGTTATTAATTAATTTTATGCGAAATTCATAGATTAATCGACCGAGAAGGATGCCTAAACTTGACAAAATTCGTTTTGGAGTGTTTGACACCCCCGCGTGCTAGTTAAGAGTTAATTCTGTTTGAGTGATGTAACGTTGTATATAGGATATAGGAGTACTTACTATCGTGTAACGTCCACATCTTTGATGTCGGGTCTATTTTAACCTTGAATGACAACCAAAAGTCCATACCCAATGTTACGGGACTCGACAAATCTGGAAGAATGCTAAATTATTGCGGTCCGTATACGTCGCCCACGTCGATCACAAAACACGTACCCTCTTCAGTTTTAACAATTGATTTATCGCCAAGGCGTACCCCGTTCTTCGAAGGTGGAGTCCGGAGAAAGTTCTTTAATTTGGAGATGTTTGACGCACTCATATACGGCTTGACTCAAATATAACCTTTCGTTCCCGCTATCTAGGATTCCGCGAAACTTTTCTCCGAAAATTGAAATTTCTACTGGCATTTTCGTGACTCTACCTGGCTCTGTAAGGCCATTATCCAGACGGAAAACTCGCCATTGTATCAAACGATGCACGAGGTGCTAGGCCAATAGGTTACCAGTCTTTTAAGTTTCTAGTTTCTAATACCCGATCTTTATCGTCAACAGTAACATCATGTTCTCCGTCTGTCGACAATGTTGTCAACTATATTTTATTTTCGCTAAGCTCGCTTCCTTCGCAGCCGTTCTCGTTAAGTCAAAGTCATCGTCTGATATTTCTGAGTCACTTGACAACCTGCGCGCCACATCCGTATCGAATTCCTCCCGTGCCTGAGCTAAGTCGATCGCAGTCACGCAAGTACCAATATTATCTAAGGTTTTTACTTGCTCAATGTTGACCTGGTCTCTATTAATCGATTCAACCGCCTCATTTCCGCCCTTCATGGCAGTGACTTGAGGTCCGGTTACTGCCGGACAGGGTCGTTTCCTGAACGCGTTGGACAATTCTTATTTACGTGACCTATAGGTCGGCAAATATGGCATACTAGAGTCCCTCTAATAAGAGTCGCGATATCTCAAAAAGAACAGAAAAGTCAAAATGATATCAAAATATGATCAAATTTTAATTAGTCAAAATGACGTCAAATTGAAATTTTTTATGTCTTCTTGACGTCATATCTATGTCACGATGACATAATTTTGACATTTCTTTGACTATTCAGAATTATTGATATGATAGAGAAACCAAGATAGTAATTAATAAACGTCATATTTGACTGTTTATGATACATTTATTGTCAATATATAGGTACAGATCACAGATAATATAAGTCACTTGTAAACGTTATTGCATAGTAATCTAGTTTACAAATCATAAAACGAAGTAACTAAAAATAATCTTTTATCAATATTGAACTGTAAAACTCCAATTAGTTGGATCAAACATAGCAAAAACAGAAAATATAACTTGTAAACGTTATTGCACAGTAATCTAGTTTATAAATCATAAAACAAAGTAACTAAAAATAATTTTTTATCAATATTGAACTGTAAAACTCCAATTAGTTGGAGCAAACATAGCAAAAACAGAAAATATATAATGTCAAGTAATAATTTTTTAAATATAAAAAACATATATAACTTTAAAGAACCAAAAGGAATAAATTTAAAATAAAATGTGGAAATATGTACGGTAACATTAAACCGGAAACAAAATGTGTGAAAGATGACGTTAATCTTTCATTTACGTTGACCAGAAGTATTCAACCAGCGCTTCGTGGATTCTTCAGCATTCTTCAACGATTGATCTTTAAAACGGCCCATTATGGCACCTAAACAGCAACGAAAAAGGAATGCATAGAAATGACAATATAAACACACTATAGAAACACTTACAAAACAAAGTCTCCTTAATCCTTGTTCCATAAAAAGAGATTTTCACTCCTCTAGTTTCTTTCCAGCTAACTTTGTCTTGCAAGCTGATCAGAATCATCAAGAATATGTTCATTAAGATAGCTGACCTTTAAAACACACAAAGAAATAAATGCTAACTATGTAAGAAGAGTTCATATATTGTGGAAAATATAAATAAATATCCAAAAAGGTCAGCTGCACTTACAAACTGAGAAAATGCAATTTTACTCTTCAAAAATTCATTGAATGCTTCAAATGACTTCTCATCTCGTAATAGAAGGAGGGGACAATTTTCGGGTCTCTCAACGATAGCTTCACCAGGAAATATTTCATTTATAATGCGGCGTTGGTTCATTAGTACTATATCAAGTTTACTTGACACATCTCGAAGCAAATCTCTATCAAGTTTAGATACAACTGGTCCTGCAGAAAGTGTAAATATGTAAATACTGCAGTTATATAAATTAGAATAAAAAAGTCATTACCATGAAGCTTTTTCAAACTGCTTAATGTCATCGTCAGCAAATCACGATCTGCATTCGATAAACCTAATGAACATAATATATTAAATTTCCATACCATACACCAATTATAAAAGGAAATCTGTCACCATTAAGGCAATCTAAAATTTGCCAAAATTGATCATCTGCACTTTTATATAATTGGACACCATCGATATTAATGTCCACTACAATTTGATTATTATTTTGCAAATAGTTATCAGTTAATATTTCATCAAGGTTAATCTTGATACTCTTATACCACATTAGGCCTTGACCAACTTCTTTAATATTCACAGTACGAGGAGTACGAAGAATTGTTTTATATAATTTTGGCAAACCAGGGAAAATAACTCGCAGCCTTGTTAAAAGCTTGTCCATTTTTTTTGAATGAAACGTCTCAAACACCCCATTCTGTTAAGAAGTTCAATAAATATGTCTCCATGTCATGAACAAGACGATCTCTCAAATATTCAATATCAATTTTAACTTCATCTTCTAATTCGCATCACTGCTGCTACGTTTACTATATTCAGCATTTTCAGTTTGATGATTTGGTGGATTATGTACTAATACATATTCAACAATTAAGTCATTATCTTGAACGTTATTGCTTTCATCAATGGGCACAGCAGGTGAAACATGGGAGAGGTTACAGCGTGCTTCATCTAATACATCTAACATATTCTCTATCTGAGTCAACTGATCTTAAATTTCACAGAAACGTTTGGCATTGGGTTTTTGAAGCCTGAGCATATAGTTTTCTTTTCATGACCAGGGGCCGTATTCTGTTCCGCTAAAATCCGCTTACCGACAATTGTCGGTGTCGTTGCGCAGCTTTTACACGATATGAAAAACCTGCGCAACGACACTTATCGAACCGACAGTTGTCGGTAGGCAGGAACGGAATACGGGCCCAGATCTATAGCATAAAACAAAATGTATTAACATTGTAATTCATATAATTTAAAAGTAATCCATTTAAAATTAAGTCCGCTACCGTACATTTTGTTTGTAGTGTTAATAAAAAAAAGATCAAATAGGTGCATTTCTTCAAATTTGAGAGGAGCGAATTGAACATTTACCTTTTATTAACACCTATCGTGAAAAGTTTAATGTATCCTACAAATTTACCACTTTACTGTAAAGAAATATATCAAAATATTAAACATATGAGATCAAGTATAACCTATAAGAATGACGGAACTATTTTATGAAATAAAATAGATTAGAGTTGTAATGAAAAGAAATGTGTCACAAAAGGAACGAGTAGATGAATAGGAAGATAATAATGTTAAGTTCAATTTTGTCGTGCAACACCTATAAGTAGATGCCAGGAAAAAGAAAGTAAACGCAAATCGAGATCCACTAACCTCTTTCTGAAACTCTTTCGACATTTTGATATTTTAATCTTGTGTCTTTCTTAACTTTCTGTACTTATAATGACGACACACGAGACACATCCGTGTACGTCCGTGTAAGATAAACAGGGGAAACGCCGATCGTCGACTCTAAAAAATATGATAACAAGAGTGACATTAAATTTGTACAGATTCTCATTTGATTTTATTATTATTATTATTTTTTTTAATAGTTTGCACATCTACTAATTACGTATTATTGTAATAAACTTACCAATCTTCTTCGTTCGTTATAAATGTAAAAATGAAATGCACAAAAGGTAAAACGTTGCGTCAGCAAAATATTTCAGGACGACACACGTATCCGTGTACCGCGTGTACGTGCTGTCGTACGTTGCTGTCGAACGGAGAATCTTGTTCGCGAGGCAGATCCCGAGCGCGAACGCGACACGATCACAGATTCGGGGCGAGTTCCTTTGATGAACTCGATAATCACTCGTAGAGAATATCCGTTTCTCGCACTCGCGGATCGTTTCTTGTCCTCGCTTGCGTGCACGTACGCGAATAATGACCGAATAAAGACGGGGCCAAAGAAGCCGCGGAAGGTTATGACGAGACCATCGCGCACATGGACAGCCGTTTCTCGCACTCACGGATCGTTTCTTGTCCTCGCTTGCGTGCACGTACAACTTCGACAAGATGTCCGACCGCCGACGTCCGACTTCGGGTGCGTTCGGTTTGGACGCTCACGCGCTGTAAGCGTTCACACTTATAAGCGCTGTTTTCAATCGTTCGATTTGGTACCTGAGCGCTTACACAATAGTAAGAAATGTCGTTCGTTTTGGCAATGTAAGCGACTATGAGCACGTCAAAATGGCAGACGATAGGTTATTGTGTGTTATATTTGCACAAATAATAACATTATTAGAATTATTATTCGATGAGGAAGAATATTTAATTTTTAAAATAAATCCTTTTTTTTAGAATAAAGCAAACAACATTTAACTTTATTCTACAAATTTTAAAACCTAAAATTACTAAGATCAAAATTAGGACGTAAAACAATATCACCTAAAAAACAATTATTTTTCGCTATATGAAAAATGGTCACCCCGGATTCACATCGGTATGTTATTAATATTATTATTACACATTGTTGTTTCAATTTTTAAATCAAATAAAGGAAAGTGAAAGAGGCAATGCCACGCGCGGTAATTAATGCGCAATTAAAATAAGTCAGTAATAAAATAGATATATTAGTTAATACAAATTCGGACGTTTCGACACTTTTTGTGTCATTTTCAGCGTAAAAATGAAAATAATACATGAAAATTTCAGTCGATAAATTAAGACGATAAATTACAGTCAATCGCGATAAAATGAGTCAATCAGTAGAAAAGCGCAGTCAAATCAATAAAATAAAATTCATACGAATGTTTGGTAGTCTGTCAGAATATGCCGATATATGCAAATGCTCCGAATCGATCGCATCTTCGACGTTTACTCTCAGGTTGGAAGACCAGGTAGAAAAGAGAGATTCGATTGTTCTTTCTAAACCGTGAATCGGAGTCGCAATATATGTTAAAAAACGCAATGTATCAGTATTAAAATTACAATCACAAATTCTTACTTACGGAGCATTACAGACCAGTAAGTCGCAGTGTTGAAATGTATCTGTCGCTCTGACATATCGCAAGTGAGTGAAGCATTGGTAGAAATCGGAAGGTTAACATAATAAAAGTGGTGTATACATAAGTTAATGGTGGGGATAAAAATTCACAACAAATAACTCTAAATTTTTTAAACAGAACAATTTAAGAACATAACAAGGGATTTAAAAGTGAGATTATCGTATAATAGCTTAAACAAAATGCGAACCTTCATAAAAGCTCATAAGGATAGTCTCCCACGTTCTAAACAATATAACGTAGTATACAAAATTAACTGTAATGATTGCGACGCATCTTATGTAGGCCAAACGAGCAGACAATTACAAACAAGAATTAAGGAACCCCAGAACCATATATAAATTAGAATACATCTAATCATTCTGTTATAACAGATTATAGATTTTAGCATTAAATCATAATTTTGATTGGGATAATGTGGAAATTTTAGATAATAAATCGTATTTTTATAAACGCTTAATTTCCGAGATGCTGTGCATAAAGAGACAGGAAAATGGACTGAATTTGCAGACGGACATGGAAGGTTTACCGGATACTTATTTGAACGTTATTGATAGGTTATCAAAAATTTAGAGTTATTCGTTGTATATTTATCCCCACCATTAACTCATGCACACACCGCTTTTATATTATGTTAACCTTCCGATTTCTACCAACGCTTCACTCACTCACGACATGCCAGAGCGACAGATACATTATTTTAACACTGCGACTTATTGGTCTGTAATGGCCCGTAAGTAAAAATTCGTGATTGTAATTTTAATACTGATACATTGCGTTTTTTAACATATTGCGACTCCGATTCACGGTTTAGAAAGGACAATCGAATCTCCCCTTTCTACCTGGTCTGGTCTTTCAACTTGAGAGTAAACGTCGAAGGTGCGATCGATTCGGAGCATTTGCATATCCTGACAGACTACCGAACATTCGTATGAATTTTATTTTATTGATTTGACTGCGCTTTTCTACTGATTGACTTATTTTATCGCAATTGACTGTAATTTATCGTCTGAAATTTTCATGTATTATTTTCATTTTTACGCTAAAGATGACACAAAAAGTGTTGAAACGTCCAAATTTGTATTAACTAATATATTTTATTATTGACTTATTTTGATTGCGCATTAATTACCGCGCGTGGCTCTAATTGCCTTTCTCATTTCCCTTTATTTGATTTATTCAGGAGAGCCTATAATTTGTTTATGCAATTTTTAATTTATATTTGTGTATGCATATAATTTTTCCTTGCTTAATATTTAAATTATGTACAGATCCATTTGTGAGAAATTCAATGTACGACGACATGTTTGTTGATATGCAATTCGCTAATAATGCGTTCCAAAATGAACGTAAGCGCTTACGCTTGATCACGTTCACGTTCACACTGCCCTACCTTGCAAAAATAAGCGTTTGTCAGCAGAAGTTATGACGTCAACGATGACGTCATTAGTCGATCCGTAAGCGCTTACAACGCCAAAGCGAACAACGTGAGTAACGCTCATAAGCGCTTACAGCGCGTGAGCGTCCAAACCGAACGCACCCTTTGTGTTCGTGGCTTGGTGCTCGATCGACTCTCATCGGGGCGACTTCGGCTCGCCTATGTGCGCGCATCAACACGCCGCCTTCGGACTTAGCCTTCGGCGTCGTCGGTGAAAGCAACACACCGCGAGCATTGCGCACATTTGGTTTTCTCACCTTCGTGCATTTTTATTGTCAAATAATATTGACAGGTAACAGGCAATAGAGTCGAACAAAACTTCTGGCATTTATTTATTGTGTACTTAGAAAAAATAAACTACATTCCACATTAAAATAAATTATTAATATTGTAAATAATAAAAAAAATCATCTTAGTATTAGAAAAAATATATATTTGCTAATTATAATTAAGACACAAAAAGTGCAAATCTTACAAGAAAGATTCAAAGTTTTATATTATTTTGCATTGGTATCTGAATAATGGTCAAACCCTGATTTTTTTGTGACTATTCTTATATCATACTTTTCATAATAAATAAGCACAGTCAAGAAACGTACACCACATTTTCTAAAAATCAAAAAGACATAATTAAAAATGAGTCAATATAAAGTCATTTCTAACAAGGAAACGGTTGGAAGTGTCCCTACCCGATTTGGATGCGCTTTGGATATGTTGTTGAGCATCAAGAAACATTAGACACGTATTTTTTTGCGGCGTATCTCGACGTTTAGGGGTTGAAACAACCCCTTGAAAATAACGGATTTTATAGTTTTTAGCGAATATCTTCGAAAATATAAGGCGTATGAAAAAAAATTTGGTTTATGGCTTTTTGTGCTCTTTACAATGGCGTAATCAGATTTTTCAAATTTGTCACATTTTTTAATTTAACCCTACCCCTACCTATTATTTTTGCCAAATATAACAATTTTTCCAACGCAAAAATTTAAGAGCGTCGAATGCCAAATACATTCATGTATATTTTTATTATGATACCATTATTCGATTTTTGGCAAGACGAGATGATATGTGATATAGGCGTCGCGCTGTAGGTAGGTGTTGTGTTATTTCTGTTCAGTTGCGTCGTACGCTTAATAATTTCCATTTGTGCATATTTTCTCATACAATATATACTATATACTACGACATAACAAGATTCCCCCGTTAGCCTAGGCGGGGGAACAGGTGGAAAGTTCGGAGAAGTGGAAGTAGGGTCGAAAACAGAGCTGTGTGGAAGGGTGGAGGTGCAGGATTGAAGAAGGGTGCGAAGGAAGTTGAGAGGAGGCGGTGGGATTGGAGGTGAGGATAGAATCGAGGTGAAGCGGCCAGAAATTGAGGGAGAAGAGGAGAGTTGAAAGTAAGGTTAGAATGACGGAGAGGAATAAGAAGGTAGACGCGACGAGGGGGAAGGTAAGAAGGGTGCAGAGTGAGTTGAGGAGTTGAGTGCAGAAGGAACGGGTACTCGAGCGAGCGGGTGCGAGGAATCGATCGTGAGATCGATCGAGTCGGCATGCGAGACATGTGATACTGGCGGACGGCGGATGTGAGAAGCGAGGATAGTATAGCGAGCTGGCTCGTTCGATCGATGAATAATCGAGCGGATCGAGCGTCAGAGAGATGCGTTCCGGTATGGTAAGAAAGAGGCAGAGAGAGTGGCAGAGGAGGTTAGCAAGAAAGTAGAAAGAGGCAAGGAGAGGCGACAGAAAGAGTAATGTAAATAAGGCAAAAAGATAGTAGCAAGACAACAAAGTCTAATAGTTACAGAAGGAGACGAAGCTCCTTAATTCATAAGCTCCAACATAAGCTTGATAAACAGATTTTGAATATCGGAATTTGAAATGTGCAGGGAATATCTAACAAACTTATGGAGGTTATTCACGAAATAAAGAAACTTGACATGGACATCGTCGCACTTTCGGAAACGAAGAAGAAGGGGAGCGGTAATATAGCTATAAATGACTACGTTCTTATATGGTCGGGGATTCCCAAAGTAGAACGGGCCAAAGCGGGCGTTGCACTATTGGTTAAGAGAAAATGGGTGAAATATATCAAAGATATTCAATACGTGAACGAACAATGTCTGGTTGTTAAAATTGAACTCTATGGAAGAGTCGCCAGCATACTGGCAGTGTACGCACCGACGGAGGACAGCCCGGAGCAAGTAAAAACAGAATTCTATGAGGAATTGACATCGCTAATCCAGAATATTCCCAATAGGCAACAAATCATTGTGGCAGGAGATATGAACGCTAGAGTTGGTAGCCGAGTTGGCGATGAGGTGGGTAGATATGGCGAAGTGGTGGTTAACTCCAATAGAGGGAAATTGATAGAGTTTTGTAAGCAGCACGACCTACAAATAACCAACTCTCACTTTAATCACAAAAAGATTTATAGATTCACGTGGGAAAGAGCGTCGTTAGAGCAGAAGTCAATTATCGATTACGTTATAGTAAGACAGGACACTTTGTTCAGGGTTAACGACACTAGAGTTAAAAGAGGACCTAATTGTGGCTCAGACCATTACCTTGTGGTTAGTAAGTGCTTTTTCCCCATTGTAAGTCAGAAGATAAGGGCTGAGGAAGAGGACGGCGCGATGGGGAAAATCGAATTACCGAAGTATAAGACGTATCTACTTCAACAGGACAGCATCAGGGGACTGTATGAGCGAAGGCTGAACGGGTACTTACAGACCAATCACGAGAGCGCACAGGGCGAGGAAATGGATATAGAGAATGATCACGAGCACATTCTGGAAGCGGTACACCAAGCTGCGCGGAAGGTGATGGGAACTGTGAAACAACAAAGGAAACCCAGTCAAGGATGGTGGTCCGAAGAAATGGCCGATGCAGTAAAGGAAAAGGAGAGGGCATATAACAGTTGGCTGAGTCACAGAACAGCAGAGAGTAGGCGCGACTACAACAGAAGCAAGGCAGCGTTAGAAAAACAGAATAAAAAAAGCAAAGAACAACTTCTGGGAAAATAAGTGTAAAGAAATCGACTGTATGATAGGTAGAACACAATCCACAGAGGTCTGGCGATTTCTAAGGAACTTAAAAACAAATTAAATCTAATAACACTAAACGAACCAGCAAATTATTATGAGAAGCTGCTAACAGAAACTAGACCACAGTTCACCAGTGGAGTAGTCAATATTGAGGCGACAAATGGCGTAAGTGAATCTATAGATGTTTCGCCTCAGCAAGTACGCAGAGCCATTTATTCTATAAAGAACGGGAAAGCACCGGGTTCGGGAGGTATAGTAGCTGAGTTGATCAAGTACGGAGGAACTTTTTTAGTAGAAAGGATCACGAATTTGTTTAACAGCTGTATTGCAAATAAAAAAATTTCAGAGCAATGGAAGACATCGTTTATAACTTCACTGTACAAAAAAGAGGACAGGAAAGACATGTCGAATTATAGAGGCCTGAGCGTGAACAGCACACTTAGTAGGCTCTTTGGCAAAATAATTAAGGCACTGCTGGAGGACAAAATAGGAAGCACCGTGAGCGAAGAACAAAGTGGTTTTACTGCGGGACGGTCGTGTGTAGATAATCTGTTTGTGGTACAGCAACTGTTAAAAAAAAGAATAGCCAAAGATCTAGAAACGCATATAACCTTTATAGATCTGAAGAAGGCATACGACTCAGTGCCTAGAAATAGGTTATGGCAGGTGTTGTGCGATATCGGAATAAATTCCAACATAATCCAAGTGATACAGGAGATGTATGCAAAAAACAAAGCTTACATTAAAGAAGGGACAAGGCTCTCCAGACCATTAATACCCACTAAAGAATTACGACAGGGATGCAGCTTATTGCCCACATTGTTCAATATCTATCTTGAAGCAGTTTTAAAGAAATAGAAGGCAGACTGCTGCGGGATGGGCATTCCTGTGGGTCAGACTACGCTTTTCACGCTGAGCTTTGCGGACGACCAGGCGGTCTTCTTACGGGATAGCTGTGATATGGAATTCATGCTATATCAACACTACGAGCAATGGGGACTATGTGTGAACATCAAGAAAACCGAATATATGGTGGTTAACTCTGTGGCGAGATTCCCTATCCACATTACGAAGGCTCAGGAGGTCGGTCAGGTAGATGCTTTCAAGTACCTGGGTACGGTGATAACTAAGGATGAGAGGATTGGCACAACAAACATCAAAAGTCGTATTGAGCAGAGCAGGAAAGTGTTGGGATGCTTGAATTCGGTCTGGTGGGATAAGAATATCTCTGCCCGGGCTAAAAAGCATATAGGAAGGTCAATGGTGAAGGCGGTCTTGTGTTATGGGTGTGAGGTATGGTCCCTAAATGCAGATACCAGGAGGCGAATAAATGCGGTGGTGATGGACTATCTCGGGTGCGGGTGTGTCAAGGCTTAGCAGGGTAAAGAACGAAGAGGTTCGGAATAGGATGGAGACGGAGGAGACGATAACAGAAAGAATCGAAAAACGACAACTCTGTTGGTTCGGACACCTTATGCGCATGTCGGAGGACCGCTGGCCCCAAAGGCTATACAAATGGACACCTCCCGGGACCAGAAAGCGTGAAAGACCTCGAAGATCATGGAATGAGAGAATGGGCGATGCTATGAGAGCCCGAAGATTATCGGAAGAGGATACTCAGGATAGGAGAGGATGGCGATTAGGAACAGGAAAACGGCCACAGGCTGCATAAGACCCCGTTATATATATGTAGAAGGAGACGAAGGCAGAGACAAAAGGGCAGCAGAGAAAAGGATACATGAATATGAGTTGCCGCGAGGACCTAATAATGGAAGAGAGGAAGATGAGGTGGAGGATCGTAGACGGAGCTGTGAGGTGGAGAATGAAAGGGTAGAGGACGAGGAAGCGAGGAAGAGTACGAGACTGTAAAAGGCCGCATATGGCCAGGCCGGGGTAGGAAAGATGCTAAGGAGGGTTGGGTACGTCCCTGAAAAGATGCTGTAAAAATTTGTACTGTTTTGCGCACACGCCATTTGAACTTCGGATGACGTGATATATTTTCCTCTGCTTGGACCTTCATCGTATATTATGTCGTAGTAGATAAATAGATAGGATACTTTATTACCCCAAGAGTCTAAAAAGGCGTTTTGTAGGGACGTACCCAACCCTGTACAAATTTTTACAGCATTTTTTCCAACAATCAAGGGCGTTTTGCAGTGACGTACCCAACCCTGTACAAACTTTTAGCATCTTTCCTACTCCGTCCTGGCCATATGCGACTTTTTACAATCTCGTACCCTCCCTTCCTTCCTCGTCCTCTACCCTTTCATTCTCCACTTCACCGCCCCGTCCACGATCCTCCACCTCATCTTTCTTTCTCTCATCGTTAGGTCCTCATTGCAACTCATATTCATATATCCTTTTCTCTGCTGCCGTTCCGTCTCTTTGCCTTCGTCTCCTTCTGTAACTAATAAACTATTAGACTCTCATCCCTGCTCTCTTCTTAACCCACTCGCCCCGTATACTTCTCTGCATCTTTTTTCTCTTCCCCTAGCCTCATATCACTTTCCTTCACAACACCACCGATTTCATTGTCAGCTTCTTTTTTTCCCTGTGCCTTTCTCTCTCTTTGCCTTTCCTTTTCTTCGCCACCGTCCCTCTCATCCTATCAGCCAGAAACATCCTCACTCTCACGCGCTTGTCTCCTCTCTTCCTCAGCTCTCTTATTCGCACCTCCTGCTCCGCGGCAGCCGATCTATACCTCTCACAATCAGCTTACACTTACACCGCTCGATGCTTCCTCCCTTTTCCTCCCCTGCTTGTCTTGCTACTATCTTTTCGCCTTATTTACATTACCCTTTCTGTCGCCTTTCCTTTCCTCTTTCTGCTTTCTTGCTAACCTCCTCTGCCACTCTCTCTCTCTCTCTGCCTCTTTCTTATCATACCGGAACGCATCTCTCTGACGCTCGATCCGCTCGATCATTCATCGATCGAACGAGCCAGCTCGCTACTATCCTCACTTCTCACATCCGCCGTCCGTCGACATCACATCTCTCGCATGCCGACTCGATCAATCTCACGATCGATTCCTCGCTCCCGCTCGCTCGAGTACCCGTTCCTTCTGCACTCAACTCCTTAACTCACTCTGCACCCCTCCTACCTTCCCCCTCGTCGCGTCCTCCTTCTCATTCCTCTCCGTCATCCTAACCCATCGCCTCCTCTCAACTTCCTTCGCACCCTCCTTCAATCCTGCACCTCTACCCTTCCACATAGCTCTGTTTTCCACCCTATTTCCACCTCTCCGAACTTTCCACCTGTTCCCCCGCCTAGGCTAACTGGGGAATCCTATTATGTCGTAGTATATAGTATATATTGTATGAAAAAATATGCACAAATGGAAATTATTAAGCGTACGGCGCAACTAAACAGAAATAACGCAACATCTACCTACAGCGCGACGCCTATATCACATATCATCTCGTCTTGCCAAAAATCGAATAATGGTATCATAATAAAAATATACATGAATGTATTTGGCATTCGACGCTCTTAAATTTTTGCGTTGGAAAAATTGTTAAATTTGGCAAAAATAATAAGTGGGGGTGGGGTTAAATTAAAAAATGTGACAAATTTGAAAAATCTGATTACGCTATTGTAAAGAGCACAAAAAGCCATGGTAAAACTTAAGATTAAGGGCGACCTCACCGATTTCAATGACCTTGATGTATGTTGTCAAGGTCATGACCCCGAGTGACCTTCAGAAGGTTTTAGCCGTCGCTCGTTATTCGTTAAAAAGTTATTAACAAAAAAAGTTTGGAAAATATAGTAGCTATTTTGAGTATTGGAAGGCATAAACGACTAATATTACGTTTTTTTTTAAAGCAGAGAATACTTTATTTCGCGAGAAAGTCGCTGCTTTACCAAAACAATTTATAGCAATAAATTATTGATAAATTGAAGTCTTTTTGTTAAAGCAGAGAATACTTTATTTCGCGAAAAAGTCGCTGCTTTACCAAAACACAACATTTAAAGCAATATATTGTTAATAAATTGTATATTGACTATATGTGACTAACTTTATCTTCTTTAATACCACCTCTTAAACAAACGAGCTTGTAAATCGCGCCACGAACCCATGTGACAACTCGTCTCGCGTGGGGAAAGTACATGCGTGAACTATTTCGACATATATATTAGTCATTTATGCCTTCTAATACTCAAAATAACTGCTATATTTTCCAAACTTTTTTTTAAAATAATTTTTTAATAAATAACGAGCGACGGCGAAACCTTCTGAAGGTCACTCGGGGTCATGACTTTGACAACATACCACAGTATATACAGTAGCGCAACTCTCCCGATTTCAGCGTGGATGAAAATAAACTGCACATGCGCGTGCGAGGTATGTAACCAATCAGAGCACCGATA